CCCAAGTCAATATATTGCTTTAGTTACGCCACCCAAGTCAATATATTGCTTTAGTTACGCCACTGATTATAAATATCACGTGCGATTTTATCATTAATGTATTATATTTATACATAAGGAGTGTTTTTTCACATTAACTCATATCTAAGACACTTGATCATTAGGGATGCTTTTACTTGGACTGTAATCTATCCCAGACCAGACCAGGCCAGACAAGACCAGCAAATTGTTGTCCAAGTAAAAACATCCTAGATCTTTTTTCCTAATAGTCATTCAAAATAAGCATATCTTTATAACTACTTCCAATGCAAATAATTAGTTAAAACATACATATACTTCCACTGTCTCATAAAACTTGGTTAAATTCATTTTTTTTTGTCCTAAAAAAGTTTGTTGTTTTCATGTGTTCTATCTATTTTAATAAATTGGTAAGGTGTTTGCCAGCCCTTACCTCACCCTTGGATGGTTTACCACTGGTTTCAAAAAACATGTTTGAAGTAGTCTTTTGATTTTTTACATAAATCTCAATCACACATTTTTTTATCAATACGCATGTCAATCAAAGTTAGTCAATTTAGTGGAATGGAGAGAGTATTATTGTCACGTGCATCGCACAGGTACCGTACTAGTATTAATTAATATATGAAACAAAACTAGTTGATCCTTTAAGTAATGATCAAAATATTAATATGAAATATGAATAGGAATTAATTAATATTCAAGGAAGAATATTAAAGAAGATGAATCCTACTATAACTAATGTCAAGATGTTAGCTAATTGTCAACTTAGCAATACTCCCCAACATTAATATAAAGGAAGAAAATAAATACTACTATAACTAATGTCGAGATGTTAACTAATTGTCATCTTAGCAACACTCCCCAACATTAATATAGAGATGGTATTAAGGGAAAAATTAATATTCAAGGAAGGAAGAAGATTAAAGAAAATAACTCACAACTTACAATTCATTAAGCTTCAAAGTAGCAAAACCAAGATGGAAGAGTTTAGCTCATCATTTGGAGACTAAACGTGATGAAATATAAAGAAATAACTTGTCTAAACTGAGCTTAGAAGTATATGTGAATTGGTGGTTATAATGGGAAGGAAATGAGGTGTATTTATAGGCTTTTTAGAGCTGCAAGGTCGTGTACCCGATCGGGCTTTAAGGGCACTCGATCGGGTACTTGGTTGCTTCGCGGAAGCTGAAAAACTGGTACATACCCGACCGGATATGTCGGCCACCCGAACGGGTATGGATACTCGATCGCGGTCAAAATCTTCCCTGCATGTTGCCTTGTTCCCGGATTGATCTGATTTAAATTTTTAGCAACTTACCCGATCAGGTATAGGTCATACCTGACCGGGTACAACACCAAAAATCAGGATCTTCATTTTTGTCTTGAGATTTTGCACTTTCCTTCCACTTTTGATGCTCACCAATGGTCCCTAGAGTGATCTTGGACATGTTTGAGCTCAGAATAAACCTAATCTAAACAAATTACAAACATTTTACAACTTAAGCTATTACACCAAAAATGTGTAATTTCCAAAGTAACAATCAATCTAAACTAATTAAAAATACAAACATAAACATGGAAATTACATGAATGTCATGCTCCCCCACATTTGGGCTAAAATTTAAGGATGATTTATTAAAATTAACCATCTGCCCCGAAAAATCCTCATACTCTTGCAAGATATTCTTCACCGCCAAACAATTTTTACCGTCCGCTTTAAAGAAAATAAAGCAATCATCCGCAAATAAAAGATGGGACACCTTAGGTGCGCCCCTGCACACCGAAATATCTTGCAAATCTCCTTTCTGTTCGTCTTGCCTCATCAGCGCACTCAGACAGTCAGACCCTCCGCCACAAGAATAAATAAACAAGGAGAAAGAGGGTCCCCCTGCCTTAATCCCCTTCCCGGGAAAATTGGTCCCAAAAACTCCTTGTCAAATTGAACATAATAGCTCACTGTCGTCACACATAACATAATAACCTCTACCCATCTTGCCTGAAAACCCATTCGGATCATCAAGTCCTTCAGAAAAGCCCAACTGACTCTATCATAAGCCTTGCTCATATCCAACTTAAGTGCCACAAATCCTTCTTTACCCGTACTCTTTCTCTTTAAAAAGTGTTGAGTTTCAAAAGCCACAATAATATTATCAATAATTGAGCGAGCTGGAATAAATGCACTCTGACCTTCCCCAATCAGGCCGTTCAATATAACCTTCAACCGATTGGCAATAACTTTTGAAAATATTTCATATACCACATTACACAGAGCAATAGACCTCCAGTCCCCCATACCCTCCGGTTTATCCTTTTTTTGGAATTAAAACAATATTTGTGACATTTAACTCAACCGGCAAGGAGCCTGAATCGAAATCCCTTTACACAAACGCATAGTATCATTACCAACAACATCCCATAATTTTTGAAAAAGGTTGGATTCATACCATTTGAACCCGGGGCTTTATCTGGATGCATATCAAAAATCGCCGCCTTCACTTCCTCCGAGTTGACCGGTCTCAGAAGCATATCATTCTGGTCCACAGTAACACGAGTAAAAGTCACTGCCTCATCAAGCTGTCTCCCCTCGGTTTGCTCCTTGAAAATATTATCACAATATTTTTTGACTAATTCGGCCATCTGGCTCCTATCAGTAATCTATTCCCCCATCTCTGTCCGAAGTCCTTGCATTCTATTTCGTCTCCTTCCATTGTTTAACAGCATTATGGAAGAAACGTGAGTTGATATCTCCCTCTTTTAGCCAGAACTCTTTTGCTCTTTGCTTCCAATAAAGATGCTCTTTTTCCAACAGAGACTGAATAACCAGTTTTAACCGAACAAACTCTCCAGTAGCCCACACATCCGTCCGGCCACGTATGGAAGCAGTGGCGTATCCAGAAAATCTGTTCAGTGGGGGGCAAGTTTACACTAACATTATCACAATTTTTTTAGAATATAAATATTAATTAAAAAATTGAAAACTTATTAAAAAGAAAGACTATTTTTTTTAATAAGAAGCAGATAAAATATGTAATTATAAGTTTATAACTAATTTAAGTTACAAATAAACAAATTTGTTTTAATATTAAGCGAGTTGCGATTGAAATTACATACGGAGTACAATTTATTAGTTACATTAAAATAAATTATTTTAAACTAATTTGGATCTTAGATTTAGACATTCTATACTTTATTAAATACAAAATAAAAAATATACAAGAAATGGATGAAATATGTAATTTATAAGTGATTTGAGTCACAAATAAATAACTTTTAATATTAACTAGCAAAAGATGTTAATGAAATTACATATCACTTATTAGATGCATTTTAAAAAATTAATTTAAGTCTTGCATTTGAACAAATTATACTCCGTAACAGTTTAGAGCTACAAATAACTGCTCCAACATAGTGGCCTCTGGGATTCGAACATGGCCAAACTGCTTACGCGTGAACTGCTTCTACCGCTGGGCTACGGAGCATTCACATTAGACTTACGATTTTAAACATTATTATACTATAAAGACAATGATATGTGTACACAAATAAAATTATACTCCGTATATATATATATATATAATGGGGTTGGGTGGGGGTTGAGTGGGGGCAGCTGCCCCCTGCCCCCATAGTAGATACGCCCTTTTATAGAAGCTAACTTCTTCTTACAAGCTTGAATATGGTGCCTAAACCCTTTCGGTCTACATTTATCCCACCACATAAGCTCTTTTTCGCAGAATAAAATACGCTCGCTAACCGATAGGTTTTGTCCGACATTCCAACTGCTCTTTTTCACTGGCAGGTGGTCAAGAGAATTTTGCGTTATCTAAAAGGGACTCTCAACTATGGTTTGACTCTCCGAACGACCGATAGTCTTCATATCTCTGCCTTTTCAGATTCGGACTGGGGAAATATTCATGAGTAAGGAAGATCCACCACTGCTTACGTGCTCTACCTTGGGCCAAACATCATCTCCTGGAAATCTGCTAAACAAAAATATGTGACTCGATCTTCCACTGAGGCGGAATATCGAGCTGTTGCTCATGCTAGTGCGGAATTATTATGGGTACGTCATCTTCTCTTCGAGCTTGGAATAGCTGTTCTAATGACACCTACTCTTTACTGTGACAACCTTGGGGGCTACATATGTTTTGTGTCAATCCGGTTTTTCACTCCCGCATGAAACATCTGTCTCTCGATTACTTTTTTGTTCGGGATCTTATTGAACAGGGAAAATTAAATGGCCAGCATATCTTTACAAAGTTGCAGATAGCCGATGTCTTGATCAAACCATTGGGTCGATCTCCATTTTTTTCTTCCGTTCCAAGCTGGGAGTTTCTGACGGAACCTCCATCTTGCGGGGGCGTATTAAAACATAATTTATCTATTCACTATAATGTATTATCCGTATATATTATTGTTGTAATTATCTTTAGTTAGTGGCTTCAATTCTTATCTTATCAAGTAGTTACGTAGATAACATTTTTATCTCATCATAATTGTATATATATGAGCTAGACTCATTTGATTAAATACAAGAAGAATCATTCTCTTCAAAATCATCCTTATTAATAATTAATTCGGTTTCAATAATTAAACTATACATATTTATTAATATTTGGTCCCATTATGTATGAGAATACATATATTTGATTCAGAGTTTTACTCCATCCACCAATACTAATGTATGTCACATCATGAACACAACATTTACACATTTATACATCAACAAGTTCGTGAATCGTGATGCATTGCCGGATGTGCCGGTAGCGGCCTGTAGCGGACGACATAGCGGCTACGTAACAGTTTTTGACGTGATTAGGATTTCACACAGGTATAGCGGCCCGTCGCGATAGCGATGCCTACCGCGACCGCTATATAGCGGCCGAGATCGCGGTCGCCGGCCGCTATTTAAAACCATGGTGTGGACTCCAAACCATCCAAATTTTTGTTTTTGTTTTTGCTTTTTAGTTATAGAGTTATAGGTAACAGGTTTATTTAAAATTAATGCCCAAACCCATCCCAAAATATTATCGAAAGCCCAAGCTTAGAATTCATTTTCAATTTCTGCCCGTAAGTCGTAACCCTCCTTCAGGCCCCAAGTTCCGCCTGCGACATCACCAAGTCACCTGCGTCCAGACTCCAGAAGTCCAGCGCGCGTCCCTGGCTCCCTACGAAGTGAGAAGTGCGAAATGAGAAGTCCGACTCCGAGTCTGCTCGGCGCTTGACCGCTTGCCCCACTCCTCGCCGGCTCGCCGGCACTTCAGGTCTCCAGCGACCAGCCTCCGCCGACCGCCTTCCCGTCTCGCCTCTGCCCTCTAGCACTTCATTCCCCCTCCACCAGGCTCTAGGTATCTTATTACTTCTTTAGTTCTTTAGTTCTATTTGATTATTATTTGAAAATTTTAATTTGTGATAAAAAGGTGCTTATGAATTAAATTGAACTTTGTGAAGGTCTTAATCCTTAAAGATTAATTTTAAAATGCAATTCATAATTTTAGTCCTTTTACTACCTCGGTCCGTTGAAAAGTTCCCATGACAAAATGACACGATTATTTTGAAAATAATTAAATAAGGTAGTTCCAGTATATTTTGAGAAATAATTTTAATAGGTATGTAATATAATTAGGTTAGTGTTTATAACTGTTATGGTATAAATGTATTATTTTTAATATACAATGATTAATTTGTTATTTAAGATTATTAATTGTTTCCTAAAATGGAAATGAGTACCTTTATATGGACGTCCAAAAAGGTTTTATATGGGACGTCCAAAAAAGGAAAGTGAGAACCTTTCTACGGAACATTAGAAGTAATTTTTAATACATCATAGTTTAATACACAATTGAAGATTAGAGAATGATTTACGCATGGAAAAACGACATGTATATTACTAGCAGAGTTTCCCCAGACAAACATATAACTAGTTATGTTTTTGCACAAAAATAATATGACTGGGTACGAGTAACCGGACAAGAGTCACTATAATGTATTTAGAGGGACAAACCATTTAGAGGGACAAGCCACTGATGATGAGTTACTGGGAGCTAGTCATTGAATATGTCACTTTTATGAAAAACTTTAAAATAAGTCATATTTTTATCTTTTAAATGTAATTTAGTAATATTAATGGAAAAAGGCCTTCATTTATTGTTTGGGCATTTAATAAATAATTAAATATTTAAATATTTAATAAAAAATAGTTATTACCTATTCGTTATTACATTATGATGTATTATTTTTATAATTTTATACAAGTATTTTAATTCAAATTTGTCACCTATATTTCAACAGTTTATATTTTAGAATGGATAAGGAATTTATTGCCAAGAAAGGAAAAAAGTTGATTTTGTCATTCTTTAAGAAAGTGTATTGTCAAACTTATATGATGTAGATTCTATTCTTGATGGATTTTTATATTTTATAGTAACGTCAGTACAAATTAAATGATGTTTTGATGAATATTAGAGTACTGAGTACTGACATATCATTATATACGCGTCTTCAGTTTTTTGTTTTCAGCCCACTCATTATAACTTTCTGGATCCGCTCCTGCCCGTATTCCGATGGCAAAACTCGGGAAGAATGCCAGGAAGTTCTCGAAGAAGAATCTCCAATCTGTGCATCGGAGACAACGAAAGAATAAAGTTCTTTTCAAGAAAAGATCATCTTCCAGTATAGTCTTTTCCCCTCTCGACTTAATGCTTTGGTCACTAAAATTTTATGTCAGTAAAACGTCTGTTTTGAGTGGTTTTTGTAAAGATCTATGTAAAAAAGCACTGGCATTTCCATCTCAAACCTTATATACTATTGAGTTTTTAATAATTGACCTTACCATTTCGGTGCATGGAGAACTTATGGACTAGCCGAATATTCACAACTTTTTTGAAAACTTGGTTTTTACTTATGATGGTAACCTGAACTATATTTGGTGCAGAGAATGAGCGTGATGCTGCCAAAGTCCAAGTTGCTAAGAGAGAAAACCCTAATGGAAGGTAATAAGGGCGATTTTGTGAATCACAAATATCAGGATTTTTTGTATCTAATTCTAAAAACTGCTTTTGCTCCTCTGAGAAGAAATTAACTTTTGTTTGTATGATGGGTTGCGGAGTGTTAGTAACAGAGTGTTAGGAACTTAGCTCTCAACCTTGATTAAGAGGAGGGTGGTAAAAAATAAAAAGATTAAGAATGTGTTGGAGAGTGGAACAAATAACCATCTTAATACTTCAAAACCTCATTGTCAAAACCTCGTTCTTTATTAGGGGTTTGAAAGCATATTAACTAACTTCTGCTCTGAGCATTATTACTTACCATCGCACAGCTAAAAACAAAAAAAAAGAACAACAAAGCATCCGGCCTCCTATCGTGCAAGAAAAGCATAAACTCTGATAAACTCACCTTGAATTGTGCTTCAAAGTATTTCTTTAAACAATAAACTTATTTATTAATGATAAAGGTAACAAGCAACATAGAAATCAAGCAACGACTACACTAGGATGAGAGGATGAGACATATAATTGGAATATCGGTCAGAAGTGACCCAGCTCTCTAACCCTGCAAGGATGTAGACTAAACTAACAGTATTGCTGCACCAGCTACTCAAATAAGGATTTAAACATAAAGAAGTATTCTGACTACTGACTAAAGCACAAAACAACAGAAGGGATACGTGGTTTGTTCATCCACCACCAAAGGAGAAACCCCAACCTCTTCTTGCATAGCACTCTTACCAGCTTCCTCGAGATCACCTTTCCCCGTCCCCACTTTGTCCAACTGCTCAATCAGTATATTAGGCGATGCTTTCCCAGAAGCACCACCTCCTTCCCGTTTTTTGGATCTGTTCAAAAACCAGCCCCCTATCTTCTTCCTCTTTGATAGTGAGTATGCCATATCTCTCCCCATGCTTCTCCATACTCTCAACAAAGAAAACCCTAAAGCACAATCCTTTAGTAAGCAAACAATACAACTCAACACTGGGACAAAACAAACTGTAAATAACCTTCCAATCAAAGCCAAACAAATCACACCACTCACAGGTAGCATACTCTAGCCTTGGCGAAAACAAGGAGCACCGGACAACAAAAGCACAAACGAAAAAAAGAGGAACAAAGCCAAAATTAAACCAAACTTTATACATCAGAGAGAGGCCGACATAGCGCTTCCTCTTCACCAGAAATTCTCCGATTGTTCCCTCACCCTGCACAATCAGCAAACTCAAAGGGATTGGTCCTGCCTACATTTTTAGGGGGTTTCTTCTCGCCTCAAAGTGCTTCTTAACCATGGTTGCAAGTGTACTATAAGTCTACAATAATTGGTTTTCTCCCCACAATGCGTAAAAAGAGTCCTATTTAACCAAGGTGCAACTTTTTTTTTTTGGTAAAGTAGAACTGCTATAAGTCATATGGTTACTCTGTTTTGGCCAACTTCTTGAAATATTATTTTCGTTTGGTCAAACAAACTTCTTTATGGGGCAAAAACAACTTGAGAAACAAGAAATTTTTATGGGACAGAGAAAGTAACTCAGAGGCTTTGACTTGTTCTTTCATTGCTCCATGTCCATTATCTTGGAGGAGACTTGTGCTGACTGTAATTTCTTCATGACATTTGTTCTTGACTTGCAATTATTTGCAGAAGTGTACATGATGAAGTTTTTGAAAATGTTTCCCTAAATTTGGCATTCACGGGATATGATAATAACATGATTGAAGATGCCTCTGACAGTGATGGATATCTTTCTGAGGTTTTAAGCTGTAACATGCTTTAAATAGTTCTACTTCCCATTGTTTTTTTCTGCTTCCATTGTATGTTTTTACTAATCATTTAGTGATCAAATGTCAGGACATTACCACTAGCGAATTAGACACTGAGCCTGGAAATATTCAAGAAGGTTAACTTAGTGTGCAGTGCACTGTCTTTCTTTCATCTTTCCATTTATTCCTCAAATATTTTGTTCTTTATCCTACTTTTGTATGGGCAATGACACAATATCCTGGCAAATTTACCATGCAGACAATAATTTTGGTCGTCCCCTACCAGATGAGAACCAAATCGTAGCTGAAGATCTTGCAGTGAAAAAGAAGAAACTGGAAACATTAAAAAAGAAGGTTGTTTCTTTATACTCGCTCAGCGTGTCTGTATAATGTGTTTGTGCGAATACAGAAGGAAATTAAGCCAATGAAATATAATGGTGTATCGGTGAAGAATAATGACTTGCCCGATAAATGGAATAATAAAAATGACCCCTGTTAACCAGATGTGCTGTTTTTGTTTCCTTCTAAAGAATCCAAATTGTTACAGAATCCGAATTTCTGCAAGTTCTTGGAGAGATGCAAAGGTGCTGACGTGCATAAGAAAGGAGCAATGGTATGGTGAAGAAATGCTTTTGTTTGTGATAATTTTTTACATTCTTCATCAAGATGAAGGGGAGCCTTGGTGCGTTTTGCTGTTGTTGTATGAGCGAGGGGTCATGACTTCCAATCTCGAGAGTGGCATCTTGTCAAATCACAAAGGATGGCTACAGCCCTACTCCCTTGTGGTGTGACCCTTCATGGACCATGACCTTTCAGGGACACCAACATGTGCACTTAGCTGTCCTTTTATTCTTTTTCAAGATATATGATCCAATTGAACTAGATGTTGAACATTTTGTCATTTCTTAGACATGTAGAAGCATTTTCTTCCAATTTTTGGAACTCCACAATATGTTAAGAGGATCTTGCTTTTAAAAAAAGAGCGCATTTCATAAGTAGTTTTCTTCTACAATTTGCAAATCTAATAAATTTAAATGTGACTGTGTTGGGTTTTGAACTAAAAGTACACTGTTTTAGCCAATACCATTATTTCCTTATGGCGGGAATGTTTTGACCTTTTAATTACTTATTACCACTTTCCTTTTCCATCCGTGTCAATGTTATCTTCCCATTCCATTATAAGGAAATAATTGTGCGCTTTATATATTTTTTACACTTTCTAAATAAATGCCATTCATACAATTTCACTTTGTTAACAAGAGTGCTAAAAGAATTCATGAATCCAATTTTACGTACCGATGAAGTATCGCCATGCAACCCTAGACTAGATACTTTTTGCACAATCCTTATTGTTGTTTTGGCTTTCATTAACTATACTTTCTGTTTGGCCTGTCTTACAGAATGAAGGTGGTTCTTCTGAACGAAGTAAACATTTTATAACAGATACTGCTATTCGTTCTTGGTGCCAACTTATCAAAGGAGAGCACAGACGATCTGCTTTAGTTAGCATATTAAATGCTTATCGAACGGCATGTCACTATGGAGCTGAGTCTGTGGGCCATCAGTTTCAGAGCAGTGATGCATTCTGCAATTTAGTATTATTTGTTCTTTCTGAGGCAGATAATTTGATCCATGAGCTATTGAAAATGCCTTCCTCCAACAGCAAGGAAAAATTTATTATGGAACTGACTAATAACTCCAAATCAAAGAATGTAAAGCCTCTGATCAAATCCTATCTAAGAAGTACATTATTTCTGCTGCATCAAGTCACTGATTCTGATATTCTGGCTTTCATCTTGGTCCGGCTGAAAGCTTCTTTAGTCTTCTTTGCTGCTTTTCCATCACTTTTGCGCAGCCTAACGAAGGTAAGACCTATTTGTTCATGTATTGTTTCTCGTAGATGTAGAGTGATGTTTCTTTTTCCTTTTTTCATTTATACTTTTATGCTCACTATTGTGATTAACTGCGGGTATCCTGTGAAATACTAAAAAGATTAAAGATGGTAAGAAAGTGAGTGTTTTACCTTTGGTTTTATGCAATAGATGCAGCAGAAAATGAAGTGTGGTCAGTGTTTTTAATCCCCTAAACATTTTGAATTCCTAGTATTTACACATTATCAATCTGTAAGTAACATGAATTTGAACACATTTTTTTAATATCGTTTCTTGGCTAGAATTAATCAGCACCTGGCTTACTCAAGACACAATAATTCATTCTTCAGAAGTAGTTAATTGTATAATACCTAGGGGCGAGGGATCTTAAATAGTTACTACAAGAGCCGTAGTCATAATACGAAACATAAAGCTAGGCTAATAAGAATTATGTTGGTGTATTAATATTAATATTATAACAACAACAAAAACGACAATAATAATAATAATAAATATGTCCACATCAATTTTATCTCCCTCGACATGTTATTTCTTAAATTCTCCTATATTTTCCTCGACATTCCTCTCTAATTTTATTCCCTTGGATTTTCTGAGTTCCCAATGGACCCTAATTAGATATATTGTTTGGACAACTTTTTTTTGCTGTGATTTCTTACTATTTTAGATTTGTAACTGTCATAGATATTAGTTTCTGGCTTGGTGTTGGTTTCTACAAGAGCACTAGAAGTTATTTAAGCTTCTATGTGATTGCAGGAATACACTGTATTCCTGCTTTGGCATTATAATGTTTTTTTCTTAGACATTTATACTATATTGAAACAGGCATCAATCCATCTGTGGGCAACGGGTGGTGGAGCTGTGTCGTCAGCTTCTTTTCTTGTCATACGCGACATATGTGCTATATTCACATCCGAGTGCTTTGAGGATTGCTTAGCTAAAACATTGAATGCTTATCTTTCTCAATCAAGAGTCCCCGAAATCGTGAACATCAAACACATTCAGTTCCTGAGAAATTCTCTATGTGACCTGTTCTCATTAGATGTTGAAAGATGTTCGAAGAAGGCTACTATATCTGTCTGTCAACTAGCAAATATATTCAAGTTGGGCATGCATACTAACAAAAGGGTAAGTCGATGACATATTGTTCTTCCCTTTTTTGAAAATGGTATGATAATGTCAAAGCATTTAATGGCAGGAACTATGAAGTCATTGAAGTGTATATAGAATCATTTGTTTGCTATAATGAGTATAATCCAAGATTTGTCATGCAGGAAGTTGTTAAAAAGATTTGCAGTTGGGAATACATGAACTGTGTTGATCTCTGGGTTGAATTTGTATCCGCCAACATACGAGTTTGTGATCTTTCATCCTTGTTTTTCACAATGGTTCAGCTCATAAATGGAGTTGCTTGTATGTTTTCTGGACCAAGATATTTTCCTTTACGGCTAAAGTGCATTCGATGGCTTAACCGTTTAGCAAGTTCTAGTGGATCCTTTGTCCCTGTTACCTCATTTGTGTTGGATGCTTTGGAATATAAAATGATCAAAGAGGATGGGAAACCGGGAAGTGTTGTAAACGTTGATTCTGTTTTAAAGGTTAGATGAGCATTGAGTTTGTTAAAAAATCCTATGTGAAGTTATTTTAGAAGTTAATACTCAATTTAGTTCCTCAAGTGTATACAGTTTGATGCCCGCCTTTATTTTGGACATAATTTTCTCCTCGACTATGCTATATAGTTTTAATTCAGTCCTCCTGCATATTTTGATCTAACTATGAAGGCCTTTTTTGTTAGCTGAGGACTAAACTCGTCCAATTTACATAGTATGAGGACCAAATTTAGTCCTACTAAGAAAGGTATTAGTGAATTGGAAAAAATACTCTTTACATAGAACCAAATATATATGATAACACAGTTGGGTGCTGGCGAAATCATGTCTTAAAAAGTCATTGGCTAAAATGCTAAATTGAGTAATGATACTTATTTGTCTTGGTTCTTAACTCAGTTTAACTCTCTTATAATGCGTTATTGGTAATAATTGTTACCCATGATGTGATGTAGTTACCAAAGCATTGTTTGAAAACAAAAGTCTTCCAAGAAGAATCAATTTTCTCAGTAATTGAACAACTATCGGCACATTTCACTCAATGGAGCTACCACATTTCATTTCCTGAGTTAGCAACTGTCCCTATCATTCGTCTAAAGAAATTCTATGAAGTGACTAATACTGAGAGTCTGAAGCGTATCATCAAGCGCTTGATTGACCAGGTATTATTCATTCGCATGTTGATTTTTTTTCCTATTGTTTTAAAATTGTCTTTAGGAGTTGTACTTGTTCCTTTCATAAGAAATTTTTGTCTCATTGCTAGTTTCTTAACTATCTTCAACGAATTTTTCGTTTACCCATTTTGGTGAGATGCAGATTGAACAGAATGTGGACTTTGTTCAAAAGAAGAGAGATGAGGTGGCATTTTCTCCTAATGATCATCAATCTGTTGAATCATTTCTTCAGGTTTGTCTTTCTTTTTACCATGGAAAGGTTGATCAATAGTTGCGAATGATTTCAATTAGTTTCATCAACGGATGATTATTCTGCAGCTTGAGAAGTCCAGTTCAAATGCTCCATTCACTCAATACTTCAAAAGCGTTCTTGATAAGGCTGCTTTACGGACTTCAAAAAGAATTTCATGATGAGGTGACACTATATTCTTTTTGTCTTGTTTGAGGATCAAATTGATCCTATCTTGTGGCACTCACACGATCATAAATAACCTTCATTGTCTTGTTAAAGGTCCAAGTATATCCCCGCTTAATAGGGTCAGAAGAAGGTGAGATTTACACTGGTTTGGGGAATGTTTTTTTTTTTTTAATTTGGGATGTTTGTCTGGTGGGCCACAACTTCAAATTATAAATTATATATGTATACGACACACGGGCACACGCAAATGCTCATATAATGTCCAATGAGAGCCTGGGTCATTTTTCTTATTTCTAATAACTAAGAAGAGGTTGGTAGATGCATAAAAGACGAGATAAATCTAGTTCATTTAAACAGATAGTCCTTGTTTTCCCAGGGGGATTCGGGGAGGGGGTTTGGGGGGCCTGGGGTAAACTAGGCTCAATCTCACTCCATTGAGAATTGAACTCGGGACCTCCCAAGGGAGAATTGAAGTCGGCGACCAGCTGAGCTGGACCGCTTCCTCGATAGTCCAATATTTTAGTAGTTATTCAAGAAATGCTTTGCTGTGTCCTCGACGTGCTTGTGTCCCCATTTTGAGCAAAAATAAAAGAAGTAAAGTTTTATGCATGTCCCATAGCTACTCTCTCATGCGGATGGTTGCATGGAACTATGGAAATATGGAAATAATGTATGGGGATAAGGACATTTTTTAGTTTTTTAATCTTTCTTTGCAGTTTCCTCGGTATTAGGCTGAGGAAGGATTTTTTTTTTGCTTTTGTAAAATCAATGTTTTTTATAATGCAGCCACACAACCTTTTTATGTACTTGTTTCATTGCATCAAACTTGTCATGGCGCATGGCGACCATCATGGCGCGGGGGTAGTTTACTGTGGCGTTGGCAATGGTGGTCGCTTCCTCGCAGGTCACCGGGTGGTCGTTCGCTAGATTGTCGCAGGTCGCACAGCTTTCTTACAGAGTTACATCATCCTTCTGTATTATTTGCCTTTACTTCTTCTTACGACCAGATTCACGTGTTAGTCTTAGTCGGGTTGTGTAAAACGTTTTCTAGCCCAACGTCTAGCCACGTACAAGTAAGGCCCTAATAAATCTGGCCCTAATAATCTGGGCCCAAGCGATGGTGAAGGCGCACATCTGGTGGCGCCACAGGTATCATCGACGCCACGCGCAGATTCTGCGGCGAAGGGCACCTAAAAAACCCCAATGCTGAGATAAGATTCTGCGCCTCAACTACTCTGCATCGCATCCGTATAGACCTTAAGTGCATTTCTTGCCTAGAGTGATGCACATAAGCTTTTCTCAGCTTGTATAACAAAGTTGTCATGTGCAGGTTTCTAAACCCAAATAAATCAACAAAGCTAAAGGACGGAAGGGGAAGCCTTGGGATGTCCCTGGTCTATAAGCTGATGTCGCAGGCACTGTAAACGGAAAACTCGATTTAAAAAATGCTAACGAAATGGTCAAGCTGAAGGGTAAAACATAACTGCTGCAGCATTCTTATTATGTTTTTTAAAATCAAATTTGGAATTTGATTTTGTAACTCTGGAGATGGAGTTACAGATTGCCTCTTAGGCATTCTATATTTTGCCTTTTAATGCTGTGAAGGATTTAATTTAATGGTTCATATAGCCGAGTCAAATACGTTTAAGCCCCTACCAATATGGTTAATTTAATGGTTCATATTTTGCCAATTTCATGATATTCATCTGATTAAGCCACTACAAATAATCATGGGTGGACTCGGGCCGGTTTGGCCCGGTTGGGCCTCCGGTTCAGGAATGGGGGGCCCGGAACCGGCCCGGGTAGTCCCCGGTTCCGGGTCGGGCCTTAGTTATTTTTTTCCCCTCTTTTCCTAGTTAACCCCCAACCCTCCCCCTCACCCCCAAACCATCCCAAATGGTCGAAAATACCCAGCCCAACCCAAAAAGTAAAAAAAATTAAAAAAAAAAATAAAAAGGCCCAGAACCGGGCCCGTACCGGCCGGGCCGGTTTGTGATTTGGGGGGCCCGAGCCCAGACCAGACTCCCAGCGGGTCAGGCCTACCCGGACGGTCACTGACCGGGCCACCGGGCTGGGCCGGGCCGGAATAGTGCCGGTTCCGGGTTGGGCCACCCGGCCTGAGTCCAAACCTACAAATAATCTAATAAGATCAAACCGCTTTGAGAGAGTAAGAGGCACAAAAATGTTCGCAATGATAGAAAAGCGGGGCAACCAACGTCCATCAGAGAAGTTATCATCCTGATAGGTGGGCCGGGCTAGGTGTGGATTTAATGGCGTGTAATCACCACCATGACTACAAGAAAACATGTAATTAGCATAGGCATTTCTAATTAAGTAGAGGATCGGAGAGCGCACTCAAAGAACCAGTGGTGGGCCCAAAGATTTGTGAGAGCTGAACACTTTATAATGATAAACTTCAAATGTAATAAAAATGGTAAAAAATAAGTTGGGCTCTTTCATTAGATAGTCATATCTAATCTTATTGTGAAGATCTATCTTGATAATATGCATCATGGAGAAGCTCTTTCAATGATGATTGTTGTAACTAGTACCACTAAAGCTAACTTAACCAGACCATAGATCAAGTGATAACAATTGTGAACTTTAGGCTCGATCATCTTTCTACAAATTTTACTAATATAATAGTTTGTTTGGTAAAAAATAATTCATTTGTTCTCATTTCATATATCTACACCTGAAGTTTATCTTTCAACTCTATTCAATCAACAAATGAAAAATCGCATGAATATTCAAAAGCTTTGATTCATAAAATTAAAATATTTATCTTTAATAACAAGAAATGCTAAACAAGTGAAAGAAAGAATGATCTGTACTTTGAAGTCTGAACCCGGGTATGGTACTGTTTCAGGGAGTCAGAGCCCGTTTAGATAATTCACACGGATTCTATATTCAGATACCAATACCATGTAATTAGTTCGAGTTCATCTGTTCGAGCGGGGGGGGGGGGGGGGGGGGGGGGTCAAAAGGTTGAACCATTTTGAAACAATACTTGAATTGAATAATTTGTGTAGGTGAGGTAACTGTTAAATTTAAATGAGACCCAAAACCCATTGGGTAACCTTGTTTTTCAGCTTATCAGACTTATTAGATAACTTTTTCACCAAACACATGATTTTTGATTTCGCGCGCTGAATTGTGTAATAATAAGAAAAATAAGTTTGAAGTTACTTTTATGGTCGTATTGGCTGAAGTTATTTTAGAGGATCATCTTAGCTATTTTTCATATAATTGTTTATTTATTTTATTTTTTTAATACAATATATTTAAACATAATTTTTTTCATAAATAAGCAAAATCAGTCAATCTAGTCACTTCAGTCATAACTTCTTAATTTGTGCAGAATCAACCGATTAAGCCAATTTCAGTGCAACTAAACGGACTCCTAGAGAATTATTGATTTGATATATGAAATAATGATACAAATATTACTTCCTTACTTTCATTGGACAAATATGTGACCAAAATTCAATTAGACAAAAAAGTGACTAAAGCCTGAAGCTAATAATCCATGGCACGTTTCTTGCCTCCATTCCGCTCAAGTCGAGAAGCTCTGCAAGCCATATATGTCCGTCTACTCTCTTCTGAATCCATGGCCGACGTCACCACCGCTCGATGAAGACCAACCAGGAGCCGCCGCCCTCTACCGCTCGTCTGCCCCTCAAATGAAGCCGGAATCCTCCAATTCAGTGAGATCGGCTGACAACGAAGGCCGGAAGGCAGGCACATGTGGTTTGCCACTTTGGCGAGCTCGACCGACAATGACGCCAAGCACAACGCGACTCCCCACTGCTTCCCTGCTGTCGCAAATCCTATGCATTCTACCTCGCCTGTGCAATTGACAACCTCCGCCACTGCTGCAATTCATATTTTCTGCTTCTTTTATTTCTTATTGCTCGAGAGCGTAGTAAAATGACTCACTAAACTGTCTGTGCTTCTTTGTTATGAAACAGCAGTCAATTCATGCAATTTTGGACGTGATTTTCACTATGAGTCATCCAGAAACAGTCTCCATGAGCTTTAGTACAGGGGTAAGACTGCGTACATCCGACCCCCCTTTACCCCACCGTAGGTGGGAGCCTTTGCGACACTGGGGTAAATGAAAATGAAATGAAATTTAGATTAGGAGAACGGGCTTAGAGTGATGTTTTTGTTAATTGGGATTAGGAGGAGGATTTTGCAATTGAAATTACTGGTAATTTGATGGAGGCATTTGTTGGAGGTGAGATTGGGGTTGTGATGGGAGGGTTGTGGTCTGACTTGGGGCCGCCGTGGCTGGCAAAGGTGCGGTGGTAGTATGGGTAGGTTTTGGGCGAACTGGCCGGAAATGCCCCACTACCGGTGGGGCAACAATTTTACGGTGGTTGTGAGTAGGATAGGGAGGGGTGCGGGGGTAGAGAGGGGATGACGGCTGGCCACCTAACTAGAGGCGGCGGTGAATGTGAGCGGAGACGTGAGGCTAGTGGTTGTTGATGGTTGTGGACGGTGGTGGCAGTCGGAGAGGTGCACGGGCGAGGTGTCTTGGAGCGGTTGGTCACTATTGGGCGGGTAGCGATTTATTCGCAGTGGTGGCTGGTGGTGGTGTACAGTTTTGCCGGGGGAAAGTTGTCATTTTTTTTTTGCGGCAATAGTGACATGTTTTACGGTAATAGTGACATTTAAAAGTGACATAAATATCTAATAGTGACATATAATAGTGACATAAAAATCTGGCAGTGACATAAAAAATACAGTGACATCATGTTTTTCAAATATGTGACCATCTTAGTCATATTTTGTCTTTTTAAAAAATGATCACATTTTTGGAAATTAGATTTGATTTGGTAATATTCAAGGAAAAAGCCCTCGATACACACACACACATATATATAGTAAACAATAACTAATTGTTATGAATCAAATTCTATTAATTTCAAATTTGGTGATATTGATTTTTTCCAAGAGTCATAATTTTTGACTTGTGATGAGTTACACGAATCATAATATATTAGATTGAAGATGTTTCAATGCTCTATATTCTCAAATTTTCAGGGGTTTTTTTACAAGAATATTACTAAAATAAAACTTATTTACATAAGTATGACTATTCATTACTAGAACGTAGTGTTGTGGTAACTTAAGTTCAAAACTTGAACATGAATTACTATGATTTCATTACTACTTTAGTAACTAGTCATATTTTTGTAAACCATCTTTATTTTGGTCATATTTATGGATGACCATCCTGATCCCTTAACTTTGCCCTGTCTGTATATTGCTAGCTGGAGATCAGAAAGGTAGTTTACTGATTCCCCGGCCTTGATATGTCCTTATATGTTTTTATAAATGTTGAGGTTTATTCCTTCAACCTGTAGGCCCAACACGTAATCCTATGGATTTCGAATGGATGTTGTGTTTGAGTGAATATGCGAATGTAGCAAGTAAAATGGGCTAAGAAATGTATGTAATAGTGGGCCGAGTATTACTAAGATCTAATAACTCCTCGTTACACTACACTATGCTAGGGCCAGCGGCCGTTCGTCTCACGCTCAAGTAGAAGAGTTGCGGGTAATAAAAAAGATCTATCTGAATGCTAGGCAGCTGGGGGGGGGGGGGGTAAGTTCCCAACTCTTTACAATAAAATAAATGCTACTATTTATACTACCAAGGGGCAGGTAAATATGCTGACGTGGGAGGCTGTGGATGGCTGAAGCTTCAACCATCAAATCCCCAGCATTAAATGTGTTTCCTGCCAAGATCTCAGTTTCCCGACTATTCATGGAGACGAGCGTCCTCTTGAACAAGGGGCCTGCTCTAGGTAATACTGCAAAGGGTTGTGGGCCGTATGTCTTCTGGCCCCTGTGTAAAAGTGTGTTAGTTAACCTTGGGATTTGTCTTCTGTGGCCGTGGGCGAGGTGTGGCGACGCACGTCGCCTCTGCCTTGGGCCTGGAGGTGTAACTGCTGCGATTTCGTGGAGACGTCCGTCTCTGCCCATTACTCTTGTTGGACTTGGATGTTCGTCCGCAGAGGGGTTTTATGGGCCGATCCTTTAATTGGGCCATTAACCCAACAATAAAGTTATACATAATACTCCCTCCGTCTCAATGTGATGATCTTGTTTCTTTTGGGCACAAAGATTAAGAAAGTGTGGTAGGAAAACTAAAGAATCTTACTTTATTGTATTGTTCATCCTTTTACTTTTACTGTTCATTAAAAAGAGATGTATAAATGGTAATCCAATTTTAGTTCTTTACCACAGAGGGAAACAAGACAATCATTTTGGGACATCCCAAAAAGGAAATACAGGATCATCATACTTATGAGTTTAGTCGATCTAGGACTTAAAATGTATAGGAACTATTAACTCTAGTTTTTAGGTCTTGGATTGAAATGTATAGCCACTCTTGTTCCAAAATGTTCACTTGAACACTCAAATTTTTGAAAAACGTGTAGGTATATGTATGTGTAATTTCAGTATAATTATTTACTACTCTTTAGATTTCTAGTTTTAGAAAAAACATTGAACACTCAAAATTTAAATTTCAAATCCGCCACCGTGAATTGGTATATTTATATTACAAACCAAAAGTTGCATTAGATATTAGTTAGAAATAGTATTTAGACTACTACTCCCTCCGTCCCAGAATTATCTTCGGTTTTGACTGGGCACGGAGATTAAGATAGTGAGAAATG